GATACAATGTTGCGGTCCGAGCCCGGCTGAATGGAAGCCGGTTTCTGGGTTTTGTTTAGCTTCTTATTTGCAACATAGTACATAGTTGCTTAGAGTTGCAGCTGAGAGGCCAGCAAGTGAGGCGGGGAACGTTGGAGTCCGCAGCAAGCAAGCCTCATGCTCGCTTCAGTGCCTGGCTGCCGGCCGCCATCTTGGCTGACCGTTAATTTGCATATACTCACTGATTAGCCAATGAAAAGGGTAGCGGCCGTATGCTAATTACCATGTTTCTCTTTTATTAGTGTAGATTGCCTACTTTTATGTAAAAAAAAAAGAAGAAATGGTCCCTCCTTTCCCTCTGGATGTTTGGACATAATATCTTGAACAGCTGCTGGGATCTCTTATCAGCCTGAGGATTAAACTCTCACTCCAAGTGGGGGAGAGTGAAGAAAAGCAAAGGAAAGCAGAGCCACAACACTGATACGTCTGTGCCTTCAGACTGCTCATCCATGCTCTTCTTGTCTTGTGGGATAATCTCCTAACCATTTAAAACAACTGAGTAGCGGTTTTCTATTACTTGTAGCCAAAACCATTCTGACATAGGTGAATCCATTTTGAAATAAAGGACCCATATTTGAGTCTCGGTGTACTCACTTACTAGATATGTGACCTTAGACTCACTGCTGACCTCTGTGAGCCACAGTTCTTTGATCTGTAAGTACCTACTTCACAAGGCTGATAAAAGGATTAAGTAACATAATGAATGTAAGGAGCTTAGCACAGTACAGAACCTCGAACATGTTAGCTGCTGAAGTGTTAGCTATCATTACTAGCCATATAAAATATCTTCACCTTACAGAGTGGGTCCTCTTTTCTGTAGAAAAAAATTTCAGGAGACACTATTGGAAATAAAGATTATTTAACTTTCTACTTTTTTTAAACCTAGATATCGATCAGTATTTTGCTATCCTCCATATCTGTGCTATCCAATGCCACCAACCACACTGCTTCTTACTTATGCCCCAGGAACATATCCTCCTCTATAAAAGAGGTTATTTAAATTTAAATTAAAACTAAATAGAATTAAAAATTTAGTTCTTCCATTGCAATCGCCACATTGCAAGTGCTCAAGAGTCACATGTGACTTACAGCTACCATATTGTCAGCTGATATATAGAATATTTCATTTCCACTATCACAGAATATTCTATTAGGCATAACTGCTCTATACCTAATTGGCTAATATCTGTGGTAGCTGTAGGGGAAAACAAAAAATACTTAACCAATCAAAAATAATTTTATATCTATTTAAAATAAAGAATTTATACCAATGAGTAGCAGCAGAGATTCCCAACTCTATTGCCTACATATGCCACATATGTGTTAGTGACAGGCTGATATATTTCTCTCCTCAGGCCTCAGGGCAGACGGGTGAGGGCTAGGGCAGAGGACAGACTGCTACGAGTCTTGACCACCTTCTTCCTTTATCCCAGTATGCTGTAAATATGCTATCATTTTATAAGCATGCCATGTTGTTAAAACATAGGACGCATTGATGGAGAAAATCCAAAACAGCAAAATATTTCAAAAGTATATTTTTACATTTGCATATACAGTATATTCAAATACTGTCCAATTAGCTTCTTCAAATCAGACTTACCAATATCTATTATACATATTGCACCCTCACTAGGAATAAAATCCAAAAGAACAAAATAGTATTTACGAAACCATCATGTTTTCTTTTTGCTATCTGCCAGTGGTATCGATTCCTACAAACTATGCTCAGATACAATACCTTGTTATGGACTGAACTGTGCCACTTCAAAGAATTTGTAGATTGAAGCCCTAACCCCCAATGTGACTGTATTTAGAGACAGGGGCTTCAGGGCAGTGATTAAGATTAAACAAGGTTATAGGGGTAGAGCCCTAATCTGATAGGGTTGGTGTAGAGAGCTCTTTCACCACATACACGTAGAGGACAGGCCATGTGAGGACACATCAAGAAGACAGCCATCTGCAAGCCAAAATGAGATTCTGCACCGGAAACCAAAATTTCTGGCACCCTGATCTTGAACTTCTAGCCTTCAAAACTCGGAGAAAATTAATTTCCATTTGTAAGACACCCAGTGTGCAATATTTCGTTATGGCAGACCCAACAGACAAATACATAACTTAATCATCTTTAACTGGTTTAAGCACTAGGAAAACAGTGACCACTTGAGCATAGACTGATTCACTTTTATGCCCCTGGGCCTGTAAGATAGGAAGTAAAGCAGGATAGGTCTTTAAGGACAGAATCATTTCTGGATTCAATTCTGGATCCTCTATGGCATGTCAGAGTTGGCAAAAAAGAGAATTTAATAACTGTACACTAAACCATAGACCTGTAAAATCTGCAAAAGAAACAACATATACTAGAGGCAGGAAAACATATTATACATGCCTAGGAAAGAAGACAATACTTTTCCTTCAACTCTACGTCATTCGTGCATGTTCCCCTGGAAACCTAGGGTAAAATAAGGAAGCTTAAAGGGCATACGGCACCTATTCCCCTTATAACAAGGCCCACGGTAAAACCCAAAGAAGCAACAACCTTAGGTAGCCTATATTCCTTAGGTAAGATTTGGGGAAGCAAGCAGCAGGGAAGCAAGGCAATAAACTCAGGAAAGTTGGTAAAGAATGCTTACTGTTGCTCCGATTACACTTCTCCACATTCACCTTCAGCGTGCCCTTCTTTGTAAGAAAGCAAATTAGGCAGGTTTGGACAAGTTAATGACATTTGAAAATCATTTTAAATCATATTACTTATTATAGCTAAAAGGTGAGTTCTCAGGTAAGGATGAGGAAGGAGAACATTATCACCACCTTCACTTAATAGAATGCTATAATTTATGACATTTCATATATTTTCACTCCTTTGTTCTTCACATTAGCTTTTTAAGAAGGGCAAGGTCAAGTTAATTCCACTGTACAGAAAGACAAATTGAGACTCAGAACAATTAAGCTGCACATAAAGTCATAAAGCAAGTAAGTGGTATAGCCAGGATTGAAACATCCAAGTCTTTTACCTATATTCTATTTCTTTTTACCATCTATACCTCCCACCTACCCAAAAAGGTTATCAGGATAACCTAGAAAGTAATTTTGTATGCTACAGTTTATCCATTAAAAGTTTAGGAAGACTATACTTTTAATTTTCAGTAGCCATAAGATATTTATTAATTAAAAAGGGGAAAACAGTAACTTTATAGTGAAGACAGCTGGCAGACATCACCTTAACCTGATGAGAGTATCACCAGTAGTAAGACATATCTAGATCATTCCTTTCTGTTATGATGCACTGAGAAGGGCGCATCATTTCTGTGGTATTTTTGCAAAGAGAGAAAGAGACAAAGGACAGACACACACACACACAACACACACACACACGTGCGCGCGCACGCACACACAACACCTAACTGGTATTCTTCAAAAGAATCAGTCATAAGAAACAAGAGAAAAGATTAAGAAACTCCTCCAAATTAAAGCAGACTTAGGAACATGGCAACTAAAAAAAATGTGTAATCCTGGATTAGATTCTTGATCAGGCAAAGGTCATTAATGAGAAAGTTGGCAAAATTGGAGTAAGATCTGTAAACCAGTTAGTATTTCATTAATATTAATTACCAAATACTGATTATTGAACTGAAGTCATGTAAAATGTTAAGACTTGGAAAAGCTGGATAAAAGTTTGGAACTGCACTATTTTTACAACCTTTTTCCTAGGTTTTAAAGTATTTCAAAATAAAAATTTTAAAATTAAAAAAACTTGATACTTGTTTTGAAAATAAACAAGTGAAAATCATAGATGATAAATATGCATATTTGATAAATATGCAAACATTGAGAACTTATTAATATTTTGATCACGGAAAAATTTCATCACATATAAATACACCAGGTTTCTAAGACAATAGGTTCTCAAAGAATAATCAATTTCACTATACTTAATTTTGAACTACACAGGGATAAATTTCTGTCTTATCTAGGCTCTTTGTTTAAACTATCAGCCATTTAGAAAGACATGATCTAGCAATGTATTAAGATATTGTTTTAGCCCTGAACAGTGTGGCTCAGTTAGTTAGTTGGGTGTCGTCCATGCACCAAAAGGTTTTTGGTTCGATTCCCAGTCAGGACACATGCCTGGGTTGCAGACTCCATCCCTGGTAGGCGGGGTGCAGGAGGCAGCCGATCAATGTCTCGCTCTCACATCGATATTTCTCTCTCCCTCTCCCATGCTCTCTCTAAAAAGTAATAAAAATTATTTTTTAAATAGACATTGTTTTAAGATATTTCCACTAAATTATAGAAAATTAAATTAAAAACTTTTTCTTGTAAATATAACAAATTCAATACAATTTAATACTTCACAAATATTGTGAGTTTTTAAAGATATGATTGCAATGCTTAAATGTTCTCTCTCTGGATTCACTTACAACGTGAAATGTCATCTAAAACCTATTAAAAAACCCACAGTTTTGCATGCACAAAACAAATCATTAATATACTGTTTTTCATATGTGTGGTGCTCAGACAACCCCTTTAATAACTGTAACTTTTATGACTTGTCCATGGAGAGGCTCAAAGGAATTTACTAAGTAATGATGTTCAACATCATTAATTGTTAAGGAAATGCAAATAAAAACCACAATGACATACCACCACACATCTACTGGAATGTCTTTTTTTTTTTTTTTAACATTAACACTAAATGTCAATGAGTATCAGAGCAACAGGAATTCTCATTCCCTGCTGGTGGGAATGCAAAATAGTACAGCCTCTTTGGAAGACAGTTTGGTAATTTCTTACAAGTCAGAATTTACATTGCGAAACACTCTTCTAATTCTTTTTAAAGGTACAATTAACTTAATATTTCTTTAGTTATGTGATCCTCACATCTAAAATGGAAATAATTATTAATATAGCACACTGAAGTGAAGATTCACACATGACACAAAAGGCTCAACCTTAGAAGAAACAATTTCTAGATAGAGCCCAATACATTCTTAAGTAATAGAGTTCAGGTTCATTTCCACAGACTGTCAATTATCACTTCCTTTCTCTCAAAGAGAAAACCTGTTAAATATAAGATCAGAGGCAGTTAGGCGTGTAAAAGGCATTTTGCAGTGACAGTTCAAGGGATTATAGAAGCTAGAACATTATCAGGGATACATATATTTCTTTCTTTACATTTTCAGAACATGAACATGCAATTATCTTATCATATTTAAGGGTAAAACTTTTTATAGGGTTTCATGTGGTAAGAGAAAGAAATGTAGACATTGAAAACAGATAGCAAGAATTAAACCAACAAAAAGTTTTAAATGAAATGTTATAATTGATATTTACTGTAGTTTTACTTGTACAACTTATAGAACCTAAAATGCTTAAGCCACACGAAATAAAATCTATTTCTGAACCTTAGAAATAGACAACAGAACAATTTAGACAACAACTGCTAGATTAAGCATGGAAAATATAGCAAGTTGCAATTTGTAGAACAGCCACTAGGTGGTAGTGAACACAAATAAATCTATGCTCATTAAGGCAAATAAGCTCAAGCTCTGGCCTACAGCCACCAGAAAAAAAAATATAGAAGGAAATAAAGATAAATAATAATTTATAATTTAACTTTATAATATTAGTGCAATATTTGTAGACTATGAAATAGTATAAAAATATAAACTGTAGAAACATAATTCAGTAAAAATTTAAAACAAGTCAGATAATTTCCATTATATACATTAATATAAATACTTGCATTTACATTAATTAATATATCACCAGTGGTCAAAAATAAAGTCAATCAAGTGTCTAGGTTATCATGCATTTACATCACTGTTACATTAGTAAAATGTTTTCAAATCTAAAAAAATAAAAAGAAGATTATGATTTAGTGAACTACAGAAATGGAGAAGTAATAATTAAGCTCTGAGTCAAATAATTAGATAGTGTCAAATAACATTTTTATTCCTAAAAAACAGGTTTTTATACTACACACAGTATGATAAATTTAAATTCTTTCTTTTCTAATTAAGGAATCAAAGTTTACATGACTCATAATCAAAATATGTGGGAAGTGTACTATCAATTTAAAGGACTATTAGCTGAACTAAAACTAAGAAAACAAACAAGGTTCACTAAACTAACATTAAAAAACAGTAGTTATTTGTAGCTAAAGTGGTCATTTCCTTGCATTGTATCTAACATCGTATTTAAATAGAAATTGTTAACTAAAACCATGAGATTTAAATATTGTATTATATTAGCTGGCCTATGTGAATATAATTTAATAAATTTGAAGAGAAAAATATAACTGCCCACCCATTCACCCACCCATTTCTGAGTGATTATCTACTTCTATTCTTCAGAAGATGGGAAGAAAGGAAGCAAGAACCCTGGCTGATGTGGCTCAGTTGGTTGGGCGTCGTCCTGTGCACCAAAAGTTTGCCGGCTCAATTCCCACTCAGGGCACATGCCTGGGTTGCGGGCTTGATCCCTGGTATCGTGGGTGCAGGAGGCAGCCAATCAGTGTTTCACTGTCACATCAATGTTTGTCTCTCTCTCTCTCTACCTCTCTCTCTAAAAGTCAATTTTTTAAAAAAAATCTTTAAAAAAAATAGAGGAGGAGGTCAGTAATTTTTCAGATTCAAAAGTAATTCAATTCATAAACTATGTATTTTCTATTTTTAAAGTTAAATGTGGTACTTTAAGTAAGTAAACTATTTGTGGGTTTATTATCAAAATAAATCATGAATTATATTAGCATTCTATCAAAAAAGGTATAAAAACTTGATCATCTAACTAAGCTGAGGACAGAAATTAACCATATATAGACTACATGAATATCAGGTTTCCAAAACTTATTTTAGCAATTTAAATAGTTTATTGAATTTCATAATCTTATTTACTGTTTACACTGTGCCAATTAGAAACTGAAATAATAAAGACTATAACACAGTTTTCCCACAAGTATCTTAAATTTTCTTTATAAGTTAAATATTAATTTTGCAAGATGTTACAAAATGTAACTTAGGTTTCTGGGCTTCTAGCTACTCACCATTCCTTGAAGATAAGACTTACACTTTCATACTTTTGTGTCTCAAACCACATGGTTCTAGCTGCCCAGAATATTTCTTTTTCTAACTTCTCTTCTGGTTTAAAGACACTCAAATGGAAGTCCTCTGCCTCAAAAGCAGAATTTATAGTTTCATTCTACATGCTCCTACAATATTGAATGGACATGCAGCATTTGTCATATAAAACTATATTTAACTTAAAGATGCTTATATATCTCTATATTGTCAGCATCTAGCATGATGACTACAATACAGTTATCTGATAAGTATTTAATAAATTCTAGGGTTTATACTGTAACATTTGATCACACTTAGCTAGTATCAGGAACAATTTACATTTTAAAAAAGGTAGACACATGCTAACAATATTTGCCTTTCTTCTTAAAAATACATAGCCAATATATGCAAAAAAAAAGTTTGGAAAGGAAAGATCACTTACTGAAAAACGCCAGCATAAAAATCCCATCATTACCCACTCTGAGCTGGTCTGCATCACTAAAGTCATCTCTTGGTGAGCACTCTTCCTCCTGAATCTGTAAAACATGAGACATTAGAACACACTAAAATAATTACAACTTTATTACCTTGGATATAAAGATAAGAATTTAAATAAAATCTAATATTCTCAATTTATTGTATAGACAAAACAGATGAGTACAAACTCTAGCAAGTGTTCATTTTTCGTGGGCACCCTTGAAAAGAGTAATTTCAAAGGTAAACACAAAAAACATAAAAGTTAAATAACACTGAATTAATGAAAATTATATTAAGAAAGATAGATGTGACATTGTTGCATTACTGTCAAGTGGAAAACAGGACCCTTAAACATCAATGGTGGCAATATTTATCAAAAATAAAATTGTACATATCCTTTGACCCAGCAATTCCAGCTCTTCAAATACATTGTACATATACACACATATACTCTCGCTTATAAGAAATGTATTAAAGATAATTCACTTCAGCAACGTTAATAAAAGCACAAGATTAGACACAATATAAATGCCCATCAATAATGGACTATTGTCAGAGATAATTCTCCATGAGTTTCTCATGTTTCTGCATGTCTTCCAGGTAGAGGCACTGCTTGCCTTTCTTCTGTACTATCTTTTCAAGGATCTTTATATATAGTGGGCTGCTCCGAAAGAGAAAGATAGTCTCTCTCTCCAGAGCAAAGGTGTGGGCATGCTTAGTTACCATTAGAAAATACTGGGTTCCCTACATTCAGGGTTCCACACTGTGTGTGGAGGTATCATGTGGCCATCTTTGAGTTGCCCTGTGGGAACGAGAGCTCAAGAAACTGGTGTAAGAAAATGCTAATACTATGGCTAAAACCATTGATGGTAATCAAGTTTTTGTCTCTGACCTGAGCAGTCTCGTGTCTTCTGCCAACATTCCCAAAATTGACAAGCTAATCAGGTAGTTTGCCAAGTATGGTAAAGTCTCAGATGATTCACAATTCTTGACAGATCAATTAAATAAGTTACTGAATATCTGATGAAATTTAAAAAGTAATGTAAAATTTTTAAATAAATAAAAAAGAACAAAAGTTCTTAGTATTCTCTTAACGATCTCTAAAATATTTTAAATAAAAATGTGTATAGTACAATGCCTTTTGTGTAGAAAAATATACTAAGATATTAATGTATTTGCTTGTAAATGTAGAGAACTTCTCTGAAAGTATGTAGAAGACTGTTATCACTGATTGTCTAATATTCAACAAATATTGACGAAATACCCCTTCTACACAAGACTTAGCTTCCTGGTATTGGGGATACATGAGTGTACATAAAACAAAGATGCTTGCCTTTCTGGAGGCTATACTCCAGTAAGGGGAGTTAGACAATAAACAAAGACATAATAAGTAAGTTATTTATATATTATTAAAAGGTGTAAATGCTCTACACAAAAGGAGAAAGGATGGTTTAGGAAATGCTTGAGGTTACAGGTTACAGTATTAAATATGGTGGTCAAAAAGCCTCGTTGAGATGGCACTTGAGCAAAGACTTAAAGGAAAGATAAGAGTTAACTAACTATGTAAATATCTCACAGAAAAGTGTTTCAGACAAAGAGATAAGCAGTGCCTCACAAGGACCTTATAGGATCATACCTGGCATGCTAGAAAATAGCAAGGAAGTAGTTCCTTGCCACTAAGAGAGAAATAGGAAGACATTAGGTCAGTAAGTCCACTGAAGGACTTTATATTTTACTGAGTGAATTGAGTGGTCTTACTGAGTTTTGATCAAATGAGTGGCATGACCTGATATACACATGCATTATCTCCATGTTACAGATAGATAACCTCAGCTGGGTGTTGATGTATCAATTTTGTGTTAGTACACAGAGAGGATCAGAGAAGCTAAGTGACCTGCCCGGGATAACATAATTAGTTACATCAAGACAGGAGTTGAATCCAGGACACTGATCTTCTTTCCATTCAATCATGATAGTCTCACTACATAGGTTGCTTTCATGAAACAAAAAGACTTTTAAAACCATATTTCTTATTATTTGGGCAAAAAAATTCCTTAAACTCTGCATTTATATCCTAGGCTATCCTTTATGGTAAATGTAATGAATGGCAACAATTAAATACATACTAATGAAATTTTATATAATTCCAAGTTAACTTAAGAAATAAATATTCAAGTACAGTATGAGCAAGCCCTGGGGGGAAAACCTGTCAATATCATGGGAAGAATATAAATATTTCAAACTCTTTTGAAACACCAGTCCAGAGATTTTTACATCATTTTTTAATTAATTAATTAATTAATTTATTTATTTATTTAAAAAGAAAGAGGGAGAAAGAGATAGAACATCGATGAGAGAGAATCATTCATTGGCTGCCTCCTGCACACCCCCTACTGGGGATCAAGCCTGCAACCCAGGAATGTGCCCTGACTGGGAATCAAACCATGACCTTCTGGTTTATAGGTCGAAGCTGAGCTACACAGGCTGGGCAGAACATAATTTTTAAAAAGATAGAAGACATATACATGCACAAAGATGTTCCTTACAAGGTTAACACCAGAAAACACATGCATACACATGCACGCACATGCACACACTCACACATACAAGACACACATTTTTAAACAATCTAATTTTCACTTAGATTGAAATGGCTATTAAGATTCTTAGAGAGAAATGGCCACTAAATTATAGTATACTAGAGGCCCGGTGCACAAAATTTGTGCACTGGGGGGGGGGGGAGTCCCGCAGCCCAGCCTGCCCCCTCTCGCAGTCTGGAAGCCCTCAGGGGATGTCCAACTGCCGGCTTAGGCCCACGCCCCCTAAGCTGGCAGTCGGACATCCTTAGCACAGCTATGGAGGCAGGGTTCCGGATTGTCAGAGGGCGCAGGCCAGGTTGAGGGACCCCACTGGTGCACAATTGGGGTCAGAGAGGGACACGGGAGGTTGGCCAGCCAAGGAAGGACTGCGGGAGGGCTCCAGGGCATGTCCTGATAGGCCGGACCCCAGCAGCAAGCTAACCTACCGGTTGAAGTGTCTGACCCCTGGTGGTCAGTGCATGTCACAGCAAGCGGTTGAGAGGCCTTAGCATACATTAGCATACTACGCTTTAATTGGTTGCACGGCCTATCGGATGACCAGACACTTAGCATATTAGGCTTTTATTATATAGGATTGATTCCATGGAATTTTATTCAACCATTAAAATAATAGAAACATTTAAATAGAATGTTTAAAAAATAAAAGATGGTATCTGTGCAATAATTTCAACTATAACTATGTTTAACGCTGATTTATAAATCCTAAAATTGGCAAAAGACACTAAAATATTTTAAAATGAAGAACAACTCTGGTGTTTTCTTCTTAATTTCCCACATTGGCAAATGTAAAGAAAGCATTCATTAACTAACTGTCATTTATTAAGTACCAAATATGTCCCAGATGATAGATAGGTGCTGGAATCATAAATATAAGGTCCTTGTCCTGGATTTGCTCACAATTTATTAAATGCTAGTTTTTATGTCAAAAGACAAGTTACTGACACACAATTTAAAACACGTGCGTGGCCAGCATGGCTCAGTGATTGAGCATCAACCTATGAACTAGGAGGTCATGGTTCAATTCCCAGTCAGGGCATTCCCTCTCATCATTGATGTTTCTATCTCTCTCTCCCTCTCCCTTCTTCTCTGAAATCAATAAAAATATATTTTTTAAAATAAAAAATAGAATACGTTACAAAAAAATCTGAACCCTACCCATGACAGGGTTATAAAATGAGACTAACTGATAAACAAGAACAAGCCATGTTCTAAAAGTTTTATAAAGTGGATTATTTGGAATTCAAATATTTTTCACAGAAATATTAAAAATAAGTTTTTTTCATAAATCTTTTAATTTTTCTTACGATACATGCAACCCTATACATAAGAAATAGAAAATAGTGTTTCCAAGTCTCCTCGCCATTCTCCCAAGAAGAATAGATTCAAGAAACAGGCTTCAGGTCACCCAGCTGAGGTTCATTGACAAGTGAATATACAGACATACCTCATTTTATTGTACTTTGCTTTACTGCATTTCACAAATGTTGAACAGAAGGCAAAATGCTTCACCAACAAAAAGATTACAACTTGCTTTATTGCAATATTTGCTTTATCATGTGGTCTGGAACTGAACTCACATTATCTCCAAGGTATGCCTATACTCAAAACTAATTAGACCTTTAAAAAAAAAATCTGAATCAAGTATAGGAACACATACTAGAGCTCTGACCAGGTTGCTCAGTTAGTTAGAGTGTCGTCCCAATACGTCAAGGTTGTGGGTTCGATCTCCTCTCAGTCAGGGCACACACAATGAATGCATAAATAAGTGGAACAACAAATCGATGTTTGTTTTTCTCTCTTTCCCCCTTCCTCATTCTCTAAAATCACCCTTCCTCTTTCTCTAAAATCAATCCATCCATAAAAAAATAATAATAAAAAGAAATATAATCATATTTTGTAGGAAAAAAGTGATAGAGCACTGGGTTAGAAACTGATGAATTTAAGCCCAAGCAGGTTTTGCTCAGTGGATAGAGCATCGGCCTGCGGACTGAAGGGTCTCGGGTTTGATTCTGGTCAAGGGCACATACCTTGGTTGCAGGCTCCCGACCCTGGTGGGGGGCATGTGGGAGGCAACCAACTGATGTGTCTCTCTCACATCACTGTTTCTCTCTGTCTCTCCCTCTCCCTTCCATTCTCTCTAAAATATCCTCAGTTGAGGATTAAAAAAAAAGAAGAAACTGATGAATTTAAAAGATTATTTATAAACATCTAAGTAAGTCTCCTGAACAATTTTATTTTGCTTTCCATGAAATTTTCCACAACCCTCACAGGTAGAGTTATATTAAAAGCAGTTGAAAACAGAAAACTTCTCTTTATAAACATGTTCCCAATTCAGGCTGGGATCAAATACTTTCTAAAACAGGTGCTGGAAATGATGATAGTGGAAGATTAGAATAGTAAAACTCTGTGGAGTTTTTTCTTCAAAAGGTAAAATCACCTTATGCTTTTCTCAAAGCACAGAGAACAAGACTTAATGCTTCCTACTTTCTGTTTAGAGAAATCCTACTGCATGGAAATTAGGGCAGTAAAGACACAAAGTTCATGACACCCTTTAAGCACATTTGTATTTCCAAGATCTTTAGGGAGACACTTACCTGAGAAAAGGAGTTACTGTCCCTCTACTTCACTGAGAGTGTGTGCATGTATACAAATACATGTACAAACATATATGTACTAAGCAACCTATAGTAGATTTTGATAGAAACTCCACACTTCATAGATCTATCCTCTTTCTTTATGATTCTCCCCTCCCAGTATAAAAAATCTTTATTGACTGAGCTATATTTATGCACCACCTTAATAGAGACTTACTTTCTCCCTAAGAGAGAAAAAGAATAAATATTAAATTTGGGGTTTACTATCTTTACTTATGTGCCCAAAGCTACTTATATTGACATTTAACTCTGTGTGTATTGGGAGGATGGGAGTGGGAGCAGGTATGGAAAGGGTTCTAGCTAATGAAAGAAATCCATCCAATAAAATGCTCATGACCAGAGAATCTACTTGCTGGGCTCTGGCCTAACAGCGGCAAGAGGAAAATGCTATACATAGAAACGCCTCTTTCTCTCTCTTAGTCCTGTACCTAGTTCTAGCTTCACTGGGTGAAGTTACTTTTTTCTGTCTTTTTCCTGAACAAAATGGGATGAATTTAGGGATCTGAAATAACATCCCAAAGTCTGAAGCAAAAAAAGGGCAACAAACCCTAGTCCTACTTGCAGCCAAACTAAAATGTAAATAATTTCTGCCTTTACCTGGCTGTAGAAGATCATACATGTATATCTTTACTGAGACAGCCACTCCTTTTAGCAAAACAAGAAATAACATTTATGTATATCATTGATTATCTCTATTACTAAGATAGGAAGATGAGAGAGAATAGGCAAGTAGAATCATTCAAAATTCTAGGGTGGGATGTGTTAAAAGGACAAAATAAAAGTGAATTTGGGAAAAAAGTGAATTGACAAACATAATTTAAAGGCCTTGTTAGTTATTTCTCTGTGTTTTTTAACCTACCTTGAGTTCATTCATAGTCACTAGAGTTTTCGTTTTTTGGGACTACATTGGAAATGTTAGTTTGAAGGGTTGGAGTAGATATTGAAGAATTTAGACTGATTATGCTAAAATACAAAATATGAGTAGGAAAAAAAGATAATTTGAATACAGTGATGGACCATGGACTGTAAACTATATAAGGAGGGAAATAAGGACATCAACAGTGAAGAGGTTGATGGACTTGAGGTCTAAGTGAAAGAGAACAACAACTAGGGTGAGTCAGAAGGATGGGAGGTTAAGGCCAGTGCATGAGATGCCTAAAATCAAGAATTCAGAAGTGATAATTGTATGGGTAAAGATAAGGTCTAGGATGACCACAACGTAAGATGGGATAAAGGGGAAGATCAAAAGAAACAGAAATAGAAATGAGGAGGTCAAGGAATGAAAAAGGTAAATTTAACTAGGAGAGTACCTATTTCACTAAAAATGACACATATAAGTAGTAGTAAAATATTAAAAATATACACAGGCACAAACACTCAAGTACAGACCACTATTTTTGATATTACTAAATAGACATATCAATTAATAAAAATAATATTCTCAAAAGGAAATAAAACTTTCTTACTCTTTGGGATGTTTCTGCTGCTGCAGCAGCCATTGCAGCAGCTTTTGCCTTCTCAGCTTCATCATACGTAGGAAGAGAGGTAGCAACACTGTATGGAGGTGGCACAGGATAAAACTCATTGTATACTTCTGCATCTGAAGAAAAGGAATTTAAAAAGGATAACCATTAAAAGGAACTATTTTATATAATCTTTATAGCCAAATACATAATTTAATAATTTACAACAGGCAGGCCACTAAGGATTATTATTGCTATTGTAGTTCTATGTTATAAGCTATAAAACACAGAAATTACTACTATAATCATATGTATTTTAGTCCTATATTTATTATAAAGAAAAAGGACTAATAAATATTATCTAAAGGCTCATACACAAAACAAGAACCTTAAGAAAAAGATTTTGAAAAGGAGTGCAAGATAAGAGAAGTAAGCAACAGTGCTATGCTCAAAGAATTAATTTATTTGCCCAAATAATCTCACAGTCAAAACTATGAGAATTAATAATAATAAATGATTTGCTACATAACTCTAATAAGTTTGAGGTAGTTTGGTACACAGCATAGCAATGGTAGTCACAACAAAAGGATTGCAATTTCCACTTTTAGTATCTTCCATCATTCAGAAATAGACATCTTCAGGATTTTCTTCCTTCAAGATTACCATCAAATATATTTTTTTAAAAAAATCTAGGGTAGCAAATTCACTGTACTATATACTCTGGAAACTTGTAAAATAATGAAGAAAAGTTAGCCCATAATAGATTTTAGAAAGCAGTCATTAAATCTTATAGCCAAAGACAAATAAATCTGTGTATCAAACTGAGTGCTGAACAAGCATGTTGATCAAATAACATTATATACAAACTAGAGGCCCAGTGCACGAAATTCATGCACTGGTGGGGGGGGGGGGTCCCTCAGCCTGGCCTGTGCCCTCTCACAGTCCAGGAGGCCCGCAATCAATTGCCCCAAAGAGGTAGGCTCCGCCCACCCGGCCGGGGCTCCACAATGGATTGCTGGCGCAAAGGGAGGCCCCACCCACCCGCCACCTGCCACCGTCTTTGGGGCGACCATGGAGCCCCCAGATTGATCAATCGCCCTGCCAGCCGGTGGCCTGGGCCTCCCTCTGCAGGGCAATCATGTGATCGACCTCGCCCCACAGAGGGAGACCCCAACCACCCACCACAGCCCGCCGGTTGGTGGCCTGGGCCTCCCTCTTTGGAACGATCGTGGAGCCCCCAATTGATTGATCATCCGGCCAGCCAGTGGCCTGGGCCACACTCTGCAGGGCAATCATGGGATGATGGCTGGGCCACCGACCAATCGCATCACATCCGCCATGGCTGGCCTGGCACCAATGAGTGTCATAGCGTGGTCATCCGGAAGATCGTCCGGAAGGTCATTCAGCTGTCTGGTCTAATTAGCATATTACGCTTTTATTATTATAGATAGAAGAAGTAAGCCTTTATTAATTTAACCAGTGAGAACATCTTTATAGAGATGATTTTCACTAACTACATAAAAAAAGTAAATAAATTTGATGTAAAAAATACCAGTCTTTTTACACATCCTATACGGTCTAAATAAAATTTGGACAAGCAAAAATGATAATCAGAGAAAGCTAGATGACACTAATTATAGAACATGAGAGATAAGAAAGATGAAATACTCAATGAAAGATTTTTTACATTAAAATGTTTTTCAACAACTGATTTTTTAAATGTTTCATAAAGAATATATAAAATACTTCGGTTATTTATAACAGTATACAAAGTCATAATTAAAACACTATAATAATTAAATTAGTGTGGCTGGGAAAAAGCAAACTGTGGCCAGAGAAATAGATGAGGGTAGTTCTTTAGAATGACCTGAAAGGATAGATGAACAGTAGCAAGCAGGAGTCACTGCCTTATGTCTAAGAATTATTACCATGTGTATGGAATAACATTATGTACACCCTAACCTCTGTTAACACATTCCACATTCTCACTCACACTCATCATTAATAACACCTTGTTTTATGACTATGTAAATATATACACACACGTGGATATATATGCATGTGTGTATATATGTTTGTTCATTTCTTCTAAAAGTCACATACTAGTCCATTGGGAATAGATCCTAGTTAAGCATAAAAAAGTTTAAATAGCTACATTTTTCAATTAAATTTTAAAAAGAAAAATATGAGGTAAGTAATGTATGAAGAAAATATTTTACAAACTATCCTTGGGAAAACAGTTTTTTTTTAAATCATAAAACCAAAAAAGTAACCATACTGGTAAAAAACAAATGAATAAAAAACATGAGCTACTAAAAACATTAGTTGTTTCATAATAAAAATAATAATACTGCTCATCTGGTGTGGCTCAGTGGTTGAGTGTTGACCTATGAACCAGGAGGTCACGGTTCGATTCCAGGTCAGGGCCGGGTTGCGGGCTTGATCCCCAGTAGGAGGTGTGTAGGAGGCAACTGATCAATGAGTCTCTGATCATTGATGTTTCTATCTCTCTTTCCCTCTCCCTTCCTCTCTGAAATCAATAAAAATATATTTAAAACAAACAAACAAAAAACACAACAATACCTGAAGTTGTAGGTACTTCCACAGTAATACTGCTATAAGGTGGAGGAGAAGAGTCAGTTTCAAATACTAATGCTGAAGGAGCAGTCTGCACAATCTGTGGTGCTGGGTTTGAAGTTGATGGCTGCTCTATAGCAGATGATTCTGAATTATCCTCTTCATTGTAAAGCTAAGAAAACAAAGAAAAGAAGACATATTAAAGTGATTCTTATTAAATTTATGTTAATTTTTAAAGATCATTTCAGGCATAGGGTCACTTTTTAGCTATAAAGAAAGTAAAATAGTATTTAAAAAGATGAACAAACATTTTAAGAGACCTAATCAGTCTCTAACAGCTTTAGAATTATAGTTTCTTTACAATAAAGATGAGGTTCAAACTGTTAAGAATTTATGAAGAGAAAACAGTCTGACTACAGATTCAGATTAATTCAGTCCCACAGTAAACACTGTCTACCATGTATCAATCACTGCACATTACAAAGGAAAGGAAAGCTTCTAAAGATACAACCACAATACTAAGTAGGCACTAAATGACCACTCTCCAGACTAGCAGCACTCTCCTCAGTGTCACAAAACATCTCCCATGTTTCCCATTACAGGGTACCCAGGAGAATCCTAATTTAGTCATCTATAATCATACTTCTAAGAGAAAAAAAATGTTAGATGAGCAAGTAAAAGCAAATAACAGTACAGATATACACTAAGCAAAATCAACTAAAACAAGTAACAGTGAAGGTGTCAAAAAAGAGTAAACCACTTTCATAAAATAAAACAGGCATATTTCTGCTAGTAAAAACCTTTCTTGTTAGTATGAGAGAATAGCATATTTCATGGTATTCCACAGACAGCACCATGAGTTCTAGATGCCCCCATCACCTGAACAAATTTGCAAAAAAAAAAAAATGTTTACCCCGCCCTTCAGGTGTGCGCGAGGCGGGGCCGAGGGAGGAGGGGAGGCGC